GTATCTCTTTCTCTCCTCTCAAGTCTCAATGCACATACCAAATGCTTGTAACATAAAGATCTCTAGCTTTCCCCTGAACTAAAACACCCAAATAACCCTGTCTCATTTATTAATTTGAAGGTAAAATCAAATCTTTATTACTTTTAGTACTCTTCCTATATATATGTATATTTTTTAACTCATACTTTTATTTTCTAGTAAGATCAAAGAGCCAGAAGAAATCACTTCATCCAGAATATAGCTGATCCAACCATACTTAATATAGACTGTCATTTAACATCAAGAAGGATGCAGGAAAATCTCAGGAGTTCCATTTTCAGAATCCCAAGCTTGCTCAAAGTGCAAAATGAAAGGGCCTATAAGCCCCATGCATTTTCATTTGGTCCCTGGCACTTTCACAACCAAGATCTGATGAGGGCTACAAAACAATTTAAAAAGATGCTTTTCAAAGGACTAATTCAGCGCTTTCGAGAACGACTAAATGTAAATGTTGAAGTAGACTTGTCGCTCAGCGAACAAGAGTTGGAAGGAGCAGTTTCGGCTATAAGAGAAAGATTGAAAAATGCCAGGTCGAACAAAAAAAGGGAATTGCAAGAAGCCATCAAAGCGGTGGGGAGCAAGGCCCGTGAATGTTATGAGGGAGGCATTGTTGTTACCCAAGAGGAATTCCATAAACTCTTGTTACTTGATGGTTGCTTTATTATCGAGTTGTTCCGGAAAGGCGCTGGAGAGGTGTCTCTACAGGAAAGTGAGTATACACTCTTCTCAAGTGGTATGATTCTGACTATTTATCATGATCTATTTTTGCTAGAAAACCAAATACCTTGGTTTGTACTTGAGCTCTTGTTTGACAAGACCAGAGGCCCCGAGAGCAAAATGACTTTGGTTGAACTTGCTATCACATTCATCCACTCCGCATTCTCATCAGATGATAAACATCTGATATCGAATGAGCTTCTTAACAGCAGCTCAAGGATCGTTCATATCATTGATCTTACGGTACGTTATTTGGGTTCCTCAGCAAAATTAGAGAGAGAAAAACAGCAGCCGAAGCAGTCGCAATCCAGGATTAATTGGGGACGTTGTTTGTGTTCCTCAGCAAAAGAGAGAAAAAAACAGCAGCCGAAGCAGTCGCAACACCTGATTGATTATAATTCTATTCCTTCTGCCACTAGACTTAGAGAGGCAGGAGTCAAATTTAAAACAGTTGCAAAAAGAAACATATTGGATGTAAGATTCGATGAGAACAAGGGTAATCTTGAAATCCCATCTTTGCTGATTCATCCAGCTACGGAAGCAATATTTCGAAACCTCATTGGCTTCCAGATATGCAGCCCTTGGGTTTGGTGGGCTTGGGTCGCTCCTAGTGTGATAATAAACTACACAGTGCTCCTAGATTGCCTGGTGGACAGTACTGAGGATGTGGATTTACTCTGCAGATCTGGGATTTTTAGTAACTGGTTGAACAATAAGGAGGCGGTTGACCTCTTAAACAGACTTTGCAGCGGGTATCAAATGGAGAAGTTCCATTATGCTCATCTTTGCGAGGAAATAAACAGTTATTGCAGGAAATGTTCGCGACGATGGCGAGTTTCTTTCATCGACAACTATTTGACGAAGCCATGGGCTATCGTGTCTGTAATTTTTGCCGCCATCGTCTTGGTTTTCACCATCATGCAGGTCTTCTATAAGTAGGAGAGTCGAGTTTTTTAGATTTGTCAAGGTATATATTGCCTGGATATTGCTCTAATATGTTCTTTTTCTTTTGCTTGTACTCTTTTGATTGACGTTGTATTTTTGCTCTGTTGCTTCGACAAAATATTATTTTTGAATTGGTTTTTTTAGTTATCTCTATAATTAACCATATATATTCATGATCAATATATAAGCTCACAATATATGGCCTTCAATCGTTTTTCCTTTTATTTTTTGTTATTTTTTGAATTCTTATTTATTTTAGGTAAGGAGGTTGCAAAAAGTCAAAATAATTTAATAATTAAGATTGATAATCTTAATAAAATAAAGCCATCCATCATATAACATCATGTGAAAATCCAGGTGAAAATACATAATTAATGACTTATATTATTAGGTAATTCTGACTTTTTGTGTTCTCTCTTTTAATGGAACCCATTAAAATTGTTTTTATTCCTGAATTATTCTTTATTTTTATTAAAATATATACATCACATCGAACAGTATTAATGTACCTTCCTTGAAACAAGATCAGCAGTTTTTCTGGCTTCGACAACACCCTTTCGCAAAAGAAGATATAGCTTCAGCTGGCTGATGGGCTCCAAACACTGAGGTCCTTGAAACAAGATCAGCAGTTTTTCTGGCTTCGACAACACCCTTTCGCAAAAGAAGATTTTGCTTCAGCTGGCTGATGGGCTCCTAACACAGAGGTCCACGCAGCAATGCAGTCCTGATGAAGCAGCCGTATAAATGGTTGAAGGCCCTAAACCGCCTTCTACCTGCAAAACAAGGCCCAAATCAATTTGGGCTCAGTCCTAATGCTAATCTAGGATCTTTTTTTCTTTTTCTTTTTAATGAAAAGAATCTTTATCAGTAAAATAAATTTTCAATCTGATTAGTATGGCGTAGCAACTGGAACATAGAAAAAAAATTAACAACTGACTTTAAAATTAAATTAAAAATGCGAACACTATTT